ACAGACAAGAAGGAGAGAAAGTGATAGCGCAGCTTTTGCTGAGGGAAGAAGCAACGAAGGAGTTCGTGATGTTTAAAGTATCGACAGGAGCTAGAACTCACCCACACAGCATGGGCCAGGCACCGTCCTAAACACCTGAGGCATAGAAACTCATTCCCACCTCACGGCACTCCAGTTCAGAAGAGGGAGACCAAAGCGCAGAGATGTGTCCAAGGACCTGACAACAGCTCCCGAACGGGGGCTGTGGCACTGCTCCTTCCTGTCCTGGCAGCGCAGGCACAGTGGGTACATGCGGCACCGTCACGGCCAGGGCCGCTGACGTGCTCAAACTGCCCTGCTTTCCACACGTGAGTCTGAATAGGGCTTCGGGAGTATTCCAATTCAACCCATGGTTCAGACGGAACTCCCAGCAGTTCAACAGTCTGGGCACAGTAGGAATTGGCTGCCATTTGGACTAGAACACAAACGGCAGCCCAAGAATGCACTATCAGATGAGCCAGCAATCCCATTGCTAGATATATACCCCGAAGTGACAGCAGGCTGTTATAGGCTGAGTTGTGTCCCTCGCCTCCAAATTCATATGTTAAAGTTCTAACCCCCAGCAATGTAAGAATGTGACTGTATTTGGAGATAGGGCCTTTAAAGGGGTGATTTAAAGAGGTAATTAAGTTAAAAATGAGGCCATTAGGGTGGGCCCTGATCCAGTCTGACCGGCGGCCTTATAAGAAGTAATCTGGACACAGATACAGAGGGACGACCTTGTGAGGACCCAGAGAGAAGGCAGCCATCTACAAGCCAGGAAGACAGCCTCAGGAAAAACCTACCCTGTGACAATCCTGATCTTGGACTTTCGTCCTCCAGAACTGTGAGACAAATTTGTTGTTAAGCCCCCCAGTCTGTGGTACTTTGTATGGCAACATTGCACGGCAATGTTCATAGCAGTATTAGTAACAATAGCCAACAATCCAAGTGTCTACCAACAGATGAATAAACAAAATGTGGCATATACATACAATGGAGTACTATTCAGCCAGGAAAAGGAATTAAATTGGTATGTGCTACAACATGGATGAAGCTTGAAAACGCTGCACTTAGTGAAACAAGCCAGTCACATAACGATAAATATTGTGTGATTCCACTTACATCGGGAGCTAGAATAGGCAAATTCATTGAGACAGAAAGCAGATTAGTGGTTGTCAGGAGCTGGGGGAGAGAGGATTGGGAGTGACTGCCTAATGGGTCTGGGCTTTCTTCGTGGAGTGCTGGAAATGTTTTGGAACTAGATAGACATGGTGGTTGCACAACAGTGTGAATGTACTAAATGCCACTGGAGTGTACCCTTTAAAATGGTTAGTTCTACATTACGTGAATCTTATGTCAACTTTTTTTAAAGGCATACTTAAAACAGTCATAAGCATTTTGTTTAAAAGACACACACACAAAAAAAAAAAAAAAAAAAAAAAAAAGAATGCCCTACTAGGAACATACAAGGCTGATGTCCACAGTGTTCTGTTATGGTGACTCAGGTCTGATAAAGAGCAGGAAGCCTACGCACGTGTGTGTGTGTGTGTGTGTGATGTCTCAACTCACCAGTGCAAACCTATGTCCAAAACTTATCCACTCCTTTTCTATGAGAGCCTCGAAGCCTTTAATGGTACGGTAATAGCTGTCCAGCATCAGCATAGCCAGAGACGTCAGCTGGGCTGTTCGGTCCCAACCATCGCTGCAATGCACCACCACGGACGTTTTCCCAGATTCTATTTTGTCAGCAATTCTCACTGCCCCAGCGAGAAGCATCTTCAGAAAAGAAGGCACATTAGACCGAGCTACATTTAATTTCTATGGTAGCAAAAGTAATTCTGGGGAGAATGCTGCATGTTCAGGTCAAGAAACCAAACCAGAATGCAAGTGACTGAGAATCATTAGCATCTTGGGGGGGCAGGGCAGGGAACTTATTACTATGATAAACTACAGCAGTAAATCGGGTCCTTTATTCGAAGGGCCCCAAAGTACCTTAAAGACTCGGGGTGAGGCAAGCAGCATCCCTTTTTATCACAAAAGCCCTCCCCCCAAAGACCACCACATGGATGCTGCTCATGGAAACTAAGAAAGCCCAAAGTACGCAGTAAAGATGTGCTTATTTGCAACGTTAAGAAACCACTTGGATAGACAAATTTACGGCCCCGCCAGGGAAATCTCATCCAGAGAAAGCACGGAAGGGACTGGCCCTCTTTACCCTTATATACTCCAGCCAATGTGTCGCATCCACGTTGGATAGCCACCGCGCCTCATCGATCGAAGGGTACACGATCTCTTTTAATTTACGCAGTGATTCTCTCATCACGTGAATGTTGTGGATCTCCAAGAACACTAGTTCCGCATTCGGGTAAGCACTTTCACTTTCATATCCTCCACCCTTTGCCTGCGAAAGACAACAGACATCACTTCATCTGAGTTCACTTTTCCGTTCTTTCTATTGGTACCCAAGAGAGACCATTAAAAAAGCAACAAACCCATGTTCATAATAAACCGCCTACATCTTGTAGGAGTTTCCCGTTGGCCACTGAACAAAGTGCCACACACTGAGTGGCTTAAAACAACAGAAATGTCTTCTCTCGCACTGCTGGAGTCTGCGAGTCCAAAATCAAAATGTTGGCAGGGCCAGGCTGTCTCGGAATCTTCTTGGAAGAGAAGCTTCTTTGCCTCTTCCAGCTTCTAGTGGTCCCAGGTATTCCTGGTTTATAGATACATGACTCCAGTCTCGGTCCCATGATCACATAGTCTTTTCTGGGTGTCTTCTCTTCTAAGGACATCAGTCAGATTGGATCAGGGCCCAGCCTAATTCAGTATGACCTCACTGCATCTCGATTACATTTGCAAAGACCTTATTTCAAAATAAGGCCACCTTCACAGGAACCGGGGGTTAAGATTTCGACATATTTTTTTTTTAATGGAGACAGTTCGCCCATAACAATCTTTCATCACCCATCATCAGTTTTTAAACCATTAAGACATGGATCTAAGTCAAGGCTAATTAGGCTTAAAAAGTTCTGTCAGTGCCATCCATCTGAATTAAAAAGCTGTACTACCGCAAAATCTCTGTATGATAAAATAGTTTGCAAATCCCTAACTATAAGATTTAAGCAATTTAAATAAAATGCAAATGTAACCAAAAAAAGGAGACACGGTTCACCCATTGGTAATTTCATAACAGAATCTCATCTATCATTAGCTTCTATTTTGTAGAGATCAACATTCAAAACACATCTGTGATGAGAACGCAGAGAGACTGAAAGCCTAATACACTGCTGGTGGAATTTGTGCAGTCTGTGGAAACAAGTCTGGTGGTTCCTCAAAAAGTTAAATATAGAATCGCCATATGACACAGCAGTTCCAGCCCCACGAAGTTGAAAACAGGTATTCAAACAGAAACTTGTGCATGACTGATCAGGTCAGCACTATTCACAATAAGCCAAAGGTGGAAACAACCCAAATGTCCATCAATGGATGACTGGATAAACGAACTGTGGTCTCACCATATAATGGAATGTTTTTCAGCTATACAAAGGAATGAAGCGCTGCTCCATGCTACGACATGGATGAATCTGGAAAACATGTTAAGTTGAAGATGCCAGGTACGAAGGATCACATGCTGTGTGATCCCACCTATATGCAATGTCCAGAACGAGGAAATCTATACGAAGTAAATTAGTAGGTGCGAGGGGATGGGGGAGGGGAGAATGGGCAGCAACTGCCAATGGGCACAGGGTTTCGCTCTGGCGCTGTGAGGGCATTTTGGAATTACATAGTGGTAACTGCTGCACGGCGCTGTGAATATACTGGAAGTCGCTGAACAGTAAACTCTGGAATGGTTAAAATGGCCAGTTTTACGTTATGTGAATTTTATCTCAATAAAAACAGTAAACGCATCTGCGAGCCCAAAGACCGCACTCTTCATTTAGTGTCCAACCATTTACCAAGTAGGTACTGATGCTCAGCCTCGAGCTAAATACCGAGGCAACAATTATGGACAAGTATACACCCTGGTGCTCAAGGCCCTGAAAATCTGGCGGGCTAAGCAGGTGAGGAGAAGGGTGTGGTTAGTCCAGGGGACAAGTCCTTTGCTGTAGCATGTGCTAGGAGGCTGTCAGAGAGACAGAAGAGACATCTCCACTGAGAAGAGAACCCAAGTCAGGGAAGCTTTGCTGTTGGAAGGAGGGTCAAGAACATGAGACGCAGAGGGGCCATCGTGTTTCGATGCCTAGATGCAGGAGAGGACGTGGCTTCCTGAGAGGCAGGCAAGAAGTTCAGCAGAGAACATCAGGGCAGTGGCGAGAACAGGGAGAGAGGAGGCCAGAGAGTGGGCAGGGCCTGGATCGGACTCACGCTGCACAATCATCACTGGCTACATGGGGAGAAGGGACCTGGAGGAGGTGGACCAGCTCAGAGACGGGCGGTCATCTGGCTGAAAGAATCATGGTGGAGGCGGCAGGGCAGAGACACGCTTCTGATTTGAGATATTTAGAGGCAGGATGTTGTAGCTCATTGGGGCAATGAAGTGGGTAGCCCAGGAGGTGACAGGGACACCCATGATTCTGGACTGGGTGACCTGAGAGATGGTGGGATACTGGGGTACAGATGATTGAAGAAGGAAGAGAGTGTTAGGCTTTGAGTATAGTGGGTGCAAAATGCCTGAAAAATTCAAGTGGAGAGGTCTGCAGGCAGCGGGATGCACAGATCTGGAGCGCAGGAGAGGTTTGAGCTGTGCATACCAATGTGAAGCCACGGGCACGTGGATAGCAGTGGAGGACAGAGGTCTGGCACATGGTGCCCAAGGACAGCATGTAGTGTGAGACGTGAAGGCCAGGAACCCGAAGAAGGCCGACATTTAAGGGATATAAAGCAAAGGACTGAGAAAAGCAGCCCGAGATTAGAGGAAAAAAGAAGGGAAAAGGTTTTGAAAAGGAGAAAGTCTCGACTATATCAAAAGTTCGTGAGATCAAGAAAAATGTGCTGAAAAATACACACTGGATTTTGTGACAAGTACTTGGCGACTTTACCAAGAACAGTTCGTGCAAAGATGGCTTAAAGGGTGAGTGGGGAGTGAGTGGCGGTGAGCGCTGAGGGGTAACAAGGAGATGGATCCTCCGAGAAGTCTATCTGTAAAGGCCAGGAGAAGGTGCCAGCTGCAAAGGGACAGTGACGAGAGTTCCGGCGAGGGCTTAACTGTATAGATGAGAAAGACTTCATGGAAAGGAGTCAGTGGAGGGGAACAGCTGGGGATCCCAGAGAGGGAAAGGGGATGACTGAGCCGGCAGGGGAGGCTGGAGGTTGAAGCGGGGAGGCTTCCATGGACAGCAATACAAGCTAGGTTCCCAGGCGTGGCGGCAGAGGGAGCTCCTCTCTGAGGGTTGGTTTGTTCTCTGTGGAGAACGAAGCAAGGCCAGCTGTTGAGGATGAAGGGGGCGGGACAGGGTCATATGTTAGAAGAGTCATTGAGGGGCTGAAAGGGCCCCCGGAAAGGCAGGAGAGGAACTTCCCAGCAGTACTGAGGGCCCAGCTGTGTGCGGAGTGGCTCCAACCTGCACATCGTGAGCCTTTCGGCATCCTGGGATGCTCAGCAGGCCCAGCTGTGGGCACGAGAGAGGCGGGAGGAGTGAACTGGGCCAAGCAGGGGTGCTGAAGGGCTAACGAGCCAAGATGCTGGCCGGAGGACAGGGGAGGAACAGCCTAAGGAGGCCAGGCTGGGCAGGAGCACGCGGATATGGGCAAAGCTGAGCAATGGCCTGTGAGCTCCTGCACGAGAAGCTGAGGTCTGAGAAGGCAGTTTGCTTCTGAGAATCCAGAAGGGAAGCAGTTCTGGGGGAGACCAGAGGCCGTGTGTGGCTGAGAGCCCTGTCACTTAGATGGAGGAGCAGCTGCTGAGACTCTGATAAAGTCTGCAAGGGGCAAGCGTGACTGACAGGAAAATAACAGAATTTCGCATATTTGGATGCCACCCTGTACTCCAACTGCTTCCACAGAATTACATGAGACATTTTAAACTTCAAGAAAACGCTTTTTGAGCACCCATTATGGATAAAGCACTTTAGAGCACGGTCCTGCCTCCATGGAGTAATTACAGCTTTCATAAAAAAATAAACTTAATCACCTGCTGACGACACTGCTGACTAAGGCTGGAACAGCACAGTGCAGTGGTTGAAGGCACAGGCCTGGGTGGCAGGGAGAGTGGGTTTGTGATCCCAGCTCTGCCACCCAAATGCCACCTCAGCTTTCTCACCCATAAAAACTCCAAAGCTCACTATGCAGATTAACTGCTAATTAAATTAAGAAAATAAATTATCTTAATTAAAGCTAACGTATGCAAAGCTTGATACCTTCCCACCACCCCTAAAGACACTCAAGCACTGCTATGTTATCACCCCAGGAGCAGCCACCTTGTCTGAGAGCTGGCAGAGGAATGGGCCCCAGGCCCTGCCTGAGGGCGCTTGTGGGCAGAAGAGGCACTTCAGCAAGGAGGAAGCACCAGCTAAGAGTTGGTTTTAACCAGGACATAACCAGGAGAACGTACTTAAAGGCATTTTGTTGCCTGGAGACTGATTAGTAAAGATCCAAGTAAGACAAATGACAATCAGAAAATGGGGTTATGGAGGAAAAAGGGTGTGAGTGGCTACTCCAAGCCTGGATACTGAGAACAGGCACCTGGAGGTCTTGGGATAGAAGGGGAAGGGCGGTGAGAAGCCATGGCCCCACCTATGCCCTGGCAGGAACAGGGGGAAGGTTTCAGAGAGTTCCAGAAGTCACCAATTCGCTGGCCAGACGTTTCTCTATGGGTGCAAAGCAGGGTTCCAGAGAGAAGCTAGTGACGTTGGGATACTGTTACCCACCAGTCCCCAAGTCTGCAAGAATAAACTGATAGCAGTGGTGACAGGGCCATCCCCAACCCTCTTAGGAAAAAGAAACCCGAATACTGAATACGAGCAGCTATCTGAAGGATGGACTCAGGGTGCCTCAATTTCAAACTAGCTTGTTCAGGGCTTGTTGAAGGCCTGCCACGCTCTCCACCCACAGTTTGACAAGGCAGCCAGGAGGGCTCCCAGGTGAGAAAAATCGAAGCTTCAGAGAGGGCGGACAGCTCCCAGAGGCCACAGGTACAAAGCGGCAGGGCAGGCTTCTCATGCCCCCAGACTCTGAAATCCACACTGCTCCGTGTGGACTGCATGATCCTGTCCCCTCGAAATTCACATGTTGAGATCCTGACTCCCAAGGTGATGCTGGTAGGTGGTGAGGGTGGAGCCCTCAGGATGGGCTTAGTGCCCTTAGAAGAAGAGACACCAGACACCTAGCCTTTTTCTGCTCTCAGCCTTGTGAGGACACAGCAAGAAGGTAGCTGTCTACAAACCAGGAAGTCGGCCTTCACCAGACGCTGGGTCTGTTGGCCCCCTGATTTTGGACTTCCAGCCTCTAAAAGTGTGAGAAATAAATGTCTGTTGTCTGTAAGCCACCAGTCGGTGGCATTTTGCTACAGCAGCTGGAGCTAAGACGCCCGCTCCCTCCCAGTCTTGCCCCTGGACTCCCCTCCCCTCCCCTCCCTTCCCCTCCCATCCCGACCCCTCCTCACATCTAGGACCCCTCCCGCCCTCTTCCGGGTCTCCTCCCAGCATGTGGACCCCTCCTTCCTTCACAGAGTCCCTCTTTTGCCCTCCACAGACAACATTTCTGAGGGTTTGGTGCTTGGCCCCTGCTCACGAGACTTAGAGGCCTTCGGAGACCTCAGCCATCCATACAGGCTGTAACCACCACCCAAGAGGCCGCTGGGCCCCAGTCTCAACCTCAACTTGTCTGTTTCTGAGCTCCAGAGCTTTACGTGCCCCACGCAGGCTCCTCAAGTGCAACAGGCTATTGGAACTGCGTAATGATTTACACACAGTACAGAAGACAAGACCCACCGGTTCGGCAATGACATCGAGAATGTACCTTGTTGGTATCGGCGACACTGTTTTGCCGGGCATCGAAGACGGTAAGTTTGTGAGACTGCGCGTTAGCATCCATTATCGTCTGCAAGTATTTTTCATCTTCTTTGCAGTGTTTATCATTGGGACCCACAAGTGGCTGGCTGCAACGAGTAATCGTCGCCTGAGTTTCTGGATGAATCCATGACAGCACCTAGTGTTTGTAAAGAACAGATATGGTGAGTGCAGTTCCTAAAAAAATATGTATTCTAATTACCAGGTAGCAAAAACAAGTTTTCTTCTCTAGCACAGTTTCCTCTGCATATTTTCCTCAAAGATGAGGGGTCAGGCCAATCACAGCATGATAGTCACTAGGGGACTCAATGTTTGGGTCAAGTTCAAAGAAGTCTGACTAGATAAGCTCCCAAAGTCCCCTTGTACCTCTGAACTTCTATAATTCTAAGAAAAACAGAAACGAAGTCAAAAGATTACTAACATCGAGCCGCATTCCTGTTTGATTTTTGTCTCCTAATTTAAAAATATCTTTGTATCTTAACAATGATATATGTGGCCAGGTGAGGACAAAGTGAACATATAGTTTGTTATAAAATCTAAAGCTTTTCCCCAAACCTCCGGTTTTTCCTCCAGTGGTCAAGAGACCCAGGATTGTACCAGATGGCAAACTCTGGGCTCAAAAAACATTCACTCCCTCCTGGGTCCTGGCGACAGTATCACGGGGGTATACATATGTCCCAACTCACCACATTGTATACATTGAACAGTGCAGTGTTTTGCATATCAATTAAACCTCAAGAAACCTGTTTTAAAAATATGCTCTCTATTTACCCCAAAGACTTGAAAACATATATCCGAAAAGATATTTGCACACCAATGTTCATAGCAGCGTTATTCACGGTGACCAGGACATGGAAGCAACCGAAATGTCCTATGATAGATGATTGGCTAAAGAAGCTGTGGTACATATATACAATGGAATATTACTCAGCCATAAGAAGAGATGAAATACTGCCATTTGTGACAACAGGGATGGACCTCGAGATAATCATGCTAAGCGAAATAAGCCAGACAGAAAGAGTTGAAAATCACATGATGTCACTGATATGTGGGATATAAACCTAAAAGCAACAAATGAACAGGACAAACAGAGACTCATGGACATGGAGTATACGCTAGTGGTTACCAGAGGGTGGGGGGAGAGGGGAGGTAGTCCGGATAAAGGAGATCAAATATGTGGTGACAGAAAAAAATCTATGGGCAGTGAACATACAATGTAAAGTATATATGACTTACTGTTGAACTGAAAAAAAAATTAATTAAAAAAAAAATCCCCCCTCTGCTGGCTGCTATGTTTCTTTTGGTAATGGCGTGCCTCCCGTGAAGCTGCAGCTTTACATTCAGCATCTGAGGAAGAGTGTCTTCTCTCTAGCATGAGTCAGTGAAACCAGTGACGTCAACTGTTAATGCAGTAACATGCTAATTCTTATTCCCTCCTACATTTTGAGCCACATAGCTGAAGTTACCATGCACTTAGTAATGTGAAGTCATGCAAGGTAGAGTCAGCAGAGAGAGAATTTATATAATCAGGCAGTTCTTGAGAATCAAAGATATGCTTGCTCAGTTTTTTAGGCTTATTTTTCGACTTTCCATTTTGTTTGCTACATTTTTTTTTCTGTCTTCTTTCCATATTAGACCTAATACCTCAGATGTTTATATCTAAATGACAACGTTTGTTACTTACAGGGACTCTGCCTTTTGCTCGAAAGGCTGCCACTTTTGAAAGGTCATCATCTTTTACACTAGTTGGCACAACAATGATGGCAGGGTAGGTGTCACAGAGCTCATAATTACTGTTGACTTTGGATATTTTCCAGCTCTCGTTTGGCAAGCCCTGCAGGGTGTTAGAGAAGAAGGGGTGGGGGTAGGTGTGCTTTTACACTTTCAGAAATTACTAAGCGTGCATCGCATCCATTTTTTATTTTCTACCAAAATCCATTTATATTTGTGCGGTACTAGTTAAAAGTTTAAATACGTATTTATCGAATATAACTCCTTCCTTATCCATTTAAAACATCCAGTGAAGCATAAGAATTTCTAAGCATACTACGAAATGAAAATTATAGACTAGAATCCTAATCCTATACATTTCCTGTCATGTTTTCTAAAAAGAATGAGTATACTGTTGTTTTCGAAAATACTCATGGAAGTCCTTTAGAGACACAGAAACTTTTTACAGATGTCTAAAATAAGTAATATAAATCACCATACCAAATATAAGGTGGAGACAAAGATTAATTGTCATGAAAATAATCTTATTGGAATATCTTCAAACTGACAATGTACTAAAGAACTTCTGGTAGAGGAATGCCATGACTGAGGTAGTCATGTCCTGTATTTAAAATATAATTTAGGGGTGGCTCCATAGAGTAGTGGTTAGCACGTCTGCTTTACACGCAGAAGGTCCTGGGTTCGTGCCCCAGGTGGAGCCATGGACCATACCCGAGGTGCGCCACTGGTTTTGATCCTTACTCATCAACTCATTACCAGAATATCTCATAAAAACCATCTGGTTATTTTGCTTTTTAAACCCCAGTCCCTGTACTCCACTTGTCTCTGGAAAAAGGATGAACACACAGTGACATAGTCAAAGGTTTGGCACAGGGACCACGGGGCATCCCAGAGATGAAGGACCTACCAGCTAGGTAAGTTATACCTACGGACGACTTGTTTCAAAAGGTTTCTTCTCCACAATATTTCTAACCTTTTAGAAAAGAAAAAGATGCTCAACCTATTATTTTCAGTTTGATAAGCAATATACTTTACCTGTCTCTTATATTCAGCTACTGGATCATAAACTTTCCATCCATTAATTGGAAATTTTTCTTTATAGTTGAATGCAAAGAGTGTCTGGATACAAAGAGCACAAAATATGTCAGTATTTCTTTGCTATCACATATATCCAATATTAAAGCTTTTCATTCAGTTATAAGCCCAATGTATTAAGATTCCTATTTTAATTTGTAAATTTTGAAGCAATGGATTGGCAGTTTTCTTAATCATTACACAGAACTGACAAATTTTAAATATTCTAATATTAGTCACCAACAGAGAGAAAATAGATGAAGGGAACCTCTGGAAAAAGGAATAATTAAACATGAAAAATTTGGACCCCCCACAAAGGTACGCAAAAGAGGTTTATTTTAGTCTACTTACCTGCCCATTGGAAAGAGGAAATGCATGTTTGCTGAGGTTTTCAAATATCCCCAGTTTACTCTGTTCTTCCTGTTTATAAGCAAGTCGCAAGTTCCTCATATCCTGTTAAACAATTAGCAAAACTCATTTATTCAACGTGTGTTGAGTGCCTCTGAGGCAGACACCATGCAACAAAAAGTTCCATAAGATATTTTTATTCATTTTTCCTTTTATACTCTTTTTCCAACAGAAGGCAATTAACAAAAATACCCCCAACAAGGTTTATTAAAAAATTTAGTGAAGAAACTGGAATGAAGGGGACACGTTAGAGGAAAAAAAAAAAAAAACTCATCAGATGGAACCAAGAGTAATGTTAGTACGTAAAGGATATGCCCTCCCGTCCTGTGCACTTACTTGCTAAAGACATGCCACAGAATCAGTTGTAAGCTCTAAACTACCAAAAGAATCGATCACAGATCTCACACCTTCCATATAATAGGAATGTGACAGAGGTTTCTCCCCTGTACTCAAAGCGAGGACTATGCATCGTGGAGAGACTATGGCCCTTAGTGACTTCCTTACAGAAATTACAATGCTCTTTCTTCACATCCCAGTTTCTTAAAATGCCCCAGCATGCAAGCTGCCTGCCAAAAGGCCAAGTTCAGGTGGGCAGGAGCGATCCCAGCGAGGTGGCTCTGAGGGTGCACTTTCTTCCCAGGGGCGTTTTGAGGAATGCCCCCTGACCTTCTGAAACCTCTGCCGTTAGTTAAACACAAAACGCCCATTCTTCTTTAACAGTAGATGAAATTTGAAAATAAATATGATCACAGACGGATCAAAGCAAGAGCAATTTGGAAAGTGAGGATGTTATTGTGATATTATATGTACGACAGCAAAAAAATGGAATCGACGTAAATGGCCATCAACAGAGGCTGGTACATGAACTACAGCACAGCTAATGCAATCCTAGAGAGTGTGAAAAATAAGAAACGGCTTGTTACGTATGGATGTCAAGGATTCCAAGATACATTGTTAAGGGGAGAAAAGAAACGGCAGAACGGTGTACATAATGTGTCATTTTCGGCATATGTAATATGTTACATTGTCAAAAGCCAGACATGCATCTTATGTGCACAGGGTACCAGTGGGAACTGGTAACAGTGGGGAGTGCGACAGGGTAGCTGGGCGTTGGGTGGAGCAAGACTTACTTTTTCCTAGTTTTCGTCCCTTCTAAATTGTCTCTCACCCATTTAAAAAAAAACAAACCCCACACGTTGCAAGGCTCTAGGACATGAGCTGAGAGGGCTGAGAGCACAGCCCCCGTAATTCTATGCTGGAAAACAGTTTGAATGGAGCTATTAGCAACTGCTCGCCCTGTCATAAAAAATATCTTAGTAAAACGGCCACAGGTTACCTGCTTAAATGATGTAACTTCCTGGTGTGCCCACCCTCCAAGCTACACTGGCTACACACGTACACCTTGGTGGCTGATTGAGGTACTGAGGTCACTTGCTATTTAGGACTGCTCGGAGGGAAAAGTGTTGCAAGAAAAGGAAAGAGCATGTGTGAAGATGAGAGAGG